ATGCTTTTGATAATCTGTGATTTAGTGAAAGGAGTTTTTGGAAGGAATATAGTTTATAAAATCAAACCAAAAAAATTATTTTTTGGAGCTTCAGTATGAATAGAAAAAAAGGTAGTTCCGCTGCAAGGTGCAGCTGTAATCAAAAAAATTCTTAAAAATCTAAACTATATCTTGGTCGTTTTTATCAAAAATTCGACAGAGTAGGGTTTAAACTGTCACAGTCTTTGTGACCCGCAAAAGGAAGTTTTGTTTCGTGTCTAAATACGTTGAGTAAATGTAATTATGATTACTTTATTGCATTAGTCAGTGAGGACGTTTCTGTCCCCAATAACCGAATATCAAATCAATAGCAACAAATCGTAAGTACGTACTGTGAAAAGCAGGAAACATAAACTGTGAGAGTAATGCATCCATTGCCTGGCGTGCGAGGACTCCCAGCGGAGTGACCGGGGGGATGGTCTGTTCTTCTTCTAAAAAGTTTTTAACTACAAAGGTATCGCTTGAGGCAAGAGAAGATAAGTTCATTCTCTCTTGCTTACGGTTGCACGCAAAGAAATATCTAAATTATAATTAAATGATTAAAAACACACACTATCATATTTTCAGTTGGGGCATGGTCCACTTACAGTCTCATTTTGAGGTCCAATATTTAGCCTGAATCACGATCAGAATGCTATTTTTTAAGAGGTTAATTCGAGATAATAATTTCTACGAACATCCCTGTGGCCGTTATCATTCAAGAGTCACTTCCCTTCTTTTTGGAAGAGGGGGTTGGACATCCACTGTCCCGATCTATTAGGCATACTTTCGTTTTAGATATTTTATACAGAGGTCAACAAACAAAAGCATTGACTGTCCGAGTCACAGCATGAAATGGGGTATCTGAAGTCACAGTATTGCGGGACTAGCGGGTCGCGGGTAGAGTATGATTTGGAAGTAATTTTTTGTTGCAGGTAAAGTGAGTTGTCACTGGTAAAGCCAGGCTATTTAGTGATTTTACTGATACAGTGCAGCCTTTAAGCTAGTAGGTTTCACACCTATCTGAAACCTCATGAATGTGAAAGAAAACTGGAATATCTTGGTTGTTTTCCCCGTAAGCTGAAACTGACCACCGACTCAGTAGACTACGAGCATTCTCTCCTTCTTTATTCTTTATTTTCTCTGCGATACATAAACTTGACACTTGGACTCTTGCCTCCCAGAAGACACGTGGTATGGCGTGATTCTGTGGGTGTTAAGAGTTCTGGGTCAGGGCTTAAAATCAGAGTGCGAGGATATTTTTCACCAGAGCTTTCTCTGATTGTTGCGCCATACTGACGAGCCCTAAAAAGGGCGAAACAGCTGTCTATGGCTACAACCCCGCTCTGTTTTGAGTTCTTTCGGTGTCGTGTTGATGTCTTGCAGAGTTAATTTTCACGTAGTACGATCAGCATTGCAGTATTGCACTATTCTGCTTGCAGAATTTAATATGTCCACGATATTATTTTTGCTGATCAGGTCTTTATAGATCCTACGTTCTTCGGCATATTCGTTTGCGGTCCTTTGCAGTCCTTTGTGCTTAATGTTTCTCCTTTTTTAGTCTTTCGAGTGAAACGCGCGAGACACGTAAATGAACAGGACTCTCGTTTCACGCATCTCGAGTTGTCGCCGCTCAACGCTCGCGCGGACGTACACTGCCCTCACTAAATAAGAAAAAGAGCGACTGCTCGTAGTCTACCGACTCAGTTGAAAGGTTCCCCATTTAATAGATAAATTTAGTCACGAGTTTTCCTCCCCCGCAGTCGCCGTCTCTTTTTGTCGTAGCGAGGCTGAGGAGAGGGAAAAATGAAAGCGCATGATTTTTCATGTAATACCCAGCGCGGGCCTCTGCGGAGCAGAGAGGTCACTACAAAATTGGAGGATACTTATAAAAGTAAATACTATTCTGTCCGTATTGGGAAAAAAAAATATGCATTGAGCTTTTCATCTCGCTGATAAAAAAAAAACTGTGCTACCTGAGTCAACGACAATTTTTAACTATTATTTTAAACGGATAGTGAACGAAGTGAACGATCGGCTTTGCTAAAAGTCAGCAGATAAAAAAATAGATCGTGATCGCGGGTTAAAATTGATACCGATATTTTATATTATGATAGTTAAAAGAACAACTTATGGAACTGACCAAGCTGATTAAAAGACTTTCGCTATGAAATTTTCACTGACTAAACGTAAAAACAATTATAAGAAATTACAAGTATTATGATATGACGTAACGTAGCTACAGTCACTTCACGTTGTTGTCATAAATGATATATAATATTACGTGTTACATGGTGTGCAAACAAAAACAAGGCAAAAACAAAAGAAAAAATGCAGATTTACAATTGTACTATTTACAATTCACAATGAGAAAGAGTCTTAAATACGACAATAATGCATATTACTATTAATAGCTACAGTGCCCACAGGACATTGCAAGTGGCAATTCTGTAGTTGCAAATATACCGTAAAATTCCGAAAATATGCCGTGGGGCTTATATTTTTCAAAGGCCATTTTTGAGGGGCTTATTTTTGGAGGGGCTTATCTATGGACCTGAAATTTGCGTTTCAAAATCGATCGGGCTAGGAACGAAATTTACCATTTTTGCTTTGTTTTTCTTTGTATTTGAGGGCAATTTCCAAGTAGAAGTCCCCGGTGGCCATATATTTGGAGGGGCGATTTTGGAGGGGCTCATACAAGAAGGGACTTATTTAGGGAATTTTACGGTATATATGACAGAGAGTGTCGTATTTTACCATCACTCCTAAGACAAAGATGTTTTAAGCAAAGCCACAAAATCATGCACAAATTACTGCTGGGAAACTATAGGGTGACATTGATCAGTTGAATGAGATGTCTCCAGGGTGATCTTCTTCAAAAGATAGCTCGATAAGTCAGTTTTGAGGTTTTCCCACAACCAAGAGAGAGTGAGCTTATTCTCTCTTGCCTCAACTTATCTTGAATTTTAGAACGATTGATAACTGATCGTCCTCTCCTAAAAGGTATCTACAATAAGTTAGTATGCAAATCTAATCCTTCTAATTTCAGATAACAAGGAAACGCCAATTCGCCTTGTAAGAGTAAAAGTACTAAACCTTTATTTCATTCAAACCAGTAGATTATTCAAAACTTATCAATTACAAAATTTTTTATAGGCCATAAAGAATTCAACGCACTATAGTTCCTGTCACTCTATATTGTCATTAATTATTTCTTTAAAAACAAAATTGTGATCTGCAAGATTTTACCAGGTCTATTTCGTCAGCGCGATAAAAGCTTAGGCTCAAGTTATGAGGTGTACGGAGGGCTGAAAAAGTACTCTTTACCACAACAAAAAACACGTGCTTACAGTTTGTGTTGGAACTATGAAGAAATCATTCTCTCATTTTTCCTTAGTTCACCTAACATGGGCAGTTTCTCAGAAACTTTCACTGATCCGATTTCGAGGGCCTATAACCGGATGTACGCTTTTGTTTATAGGTAGATGCGTCTATAACTGGGGGCCGGGCTAAAAATGATGCCCGAGTTTAAGTTTACGGTAGCTCTGCAACGAAATTCAAAGTAGATGTTGAAAATGGCGCTGACAAGTGCGCAGTTCACGTCAAAAACGTTTAGTAAATTTTAGAAGAGCATATTTTAAGATAATGAAAAGACTAAATTAAGGTGATTCTACAGTTACACGGGACGATTCGCGACGAAGATTTTTAGCGCTACCACAGCGTTGCAATGTTGGAACAATGTTGTAACCATTCGAAAGGATGTCGCAAAAATGCTGCAACTCCGTGTTTCGCTACGAATCGTAGTTGGGAAACGTCTTGTGTGATATCACCTTTAGAGCCAAGAAAAGGGGGCACACGGCCTAACAAGTGAATGCCTAAAGCATGCGCACAAACATAACACCAGGGCAGTAGCAGCCATGAACAGCTGTTTTGCTCTTATTAGGGATCAGCAGTGCATAAACCAACAAAGCCGTATATCATCAGCCATGGGTTGGTGTATGTGCCGTAACGTACTCTCTTATAAGAACTAATGTCTTAAAACAATGCCTTCTTGGCTTTGGGCGTGGTCAAGTTCCATAGCTCTTGGTACTTGGAGATCAAAAACGTTTCCAGACTTAAAACAAGACGTTTTGGTTTTATTTTATTATCATTATCATTATTGACGTAGAAATGAATGGGGTTCTTCTTGGCACCATTTTTAGCGCAAGTTTAATTTTTTTTAAAAACATGAGGTGCATTTTGGGAGATGTGCAAGTGGTGTATGCAATGTTATCATTTGCGTTCTGATATCAAAAGGACATAAAGATCGTAGTTGTGCCTCAGCTTTATGAGCCCACTTCGTAGGAAAAAAAAAAAAAAAGCAAATCAATGCGAACAAAATTAACTGATTCTGAAAAACTTAGTAGAACAAGTACGTTTATGATTAAGATTTTTTAAAATACTCTTCAGATTTCAAGTCACAAAGAAACTCCTGTTTTATTGATAATAAAATGTACTGGAGGTTTAAAAAAAAATGCAGAACTGAACAAATTAAAGGCAAACTCTTTTGTTCTGTAAGTGAACTATCATGACCGGCATTTTCTTTTTACTCATTTTTGAAAATTTAACATAATTATAAAAGAAAATAAAATTTCAAGAATGCCAGCTAATTACGTATTCCTTGGACTGTTTTTTTTTTTTTTTTTTTTCAATTTTAATTTACCTACAGCTTCTCTAAAAATCGGCAAACTAAAACTGTATATGACAGGATTAACGAGAGAATTGGCCAGGTGTAATACTGTAGAAGCGTAGATAACAGGTATTGGGACACATCTATGGCATAAAAGCTGTCAACAGAAAAAATTACGGTGCTTGGAAGCCAAAAACCAAGAGATACAGCTATCATAATAAACAGAGTCCTGGAAAGTTTAGTGCTATATTTCTCATCATTAGGTCTGTTTTCACTGTGATTTTTAACCATTGTAAGATCCAGTCGACAAGTTTTAACCTTTCTTCTGACTATCAAATAAGTAACACATATAGTCGATCAGCAAACATGAAGCTAAAATACCGCAATAGGCTACTATCCAATGGATAAAATCCACTATTCGATTTACAGCAAGCAAAGTGAATGCACCCAAAGTTATTCCTGAAAACCACACAAAAATTATACTGTAGATGTAAGCTCGAGTGCTTATCACTCGATGTCGAAATGGGCAAATCAATGAAAACGCTCGTTCCAAGGAAATGAAAACGAGGCAGACGACAGAAGTGGTAGCGAACATTGCTTGAAATGCGGTTGAAACATTCCCGTATAATTCTTGGCCAAATCGCTGTGGTATTCCGACTGTTCCGATCGCTACTGGTTCTGTGAAGCCGATAAGCAAATCCGCTACAGCCAAGTTAATTGACAGAAACGAAGTGCGTTTTAGCTTGTTTCGATGAGACCAGAAAATGTATACGGTGAAGGTGTTCGAAGTTAGAATGAGGAGTGACTCAAATGCGGCAATACTGCATATTACGATAGCTGTAGTGCTAGCCATCTCAGTTAATCATTGTACACGTTCTAACTCAATTTTTTGCTAATTTTTTCTCGCATTCTCTTGTTTGTTCAGTCTTACTTGTCCCAGGCTTTAATAATGCGGCCAAATGAAAAAACGCAACCCTCACCTCCAAAGCAGGTGTCGGTCATCCTGTTTGCAACGATCTCCAAGCAATTTACAATCCAAACCGCGGTATTATCAGAAGGAGAATTACAGCTACCTGCTCAAATTCCACGATATCTTCGAGTCTTTTACCATGATATTCACCGGCCTAGCTTGGCCTCTAAAAACACAACACTCGAGATGTCGTTTTGGCCCCGTCATAAATCTGTTATTTGCTTCCAAAAAGAGCTTTCATTAAAAAAACTGACTGCTCCTTATAAAAATTGCCAACTATTGAAATAGGGAAAATTTATGTATCATCACCAGCGTCCCGATACTTATCAAGAGTGAGCTAAGAGAGCAAATCCCTGTACCCCATGATAATTATTAGAAATCTATTTAAAGTTCGCGCGCGTGCGGCGACAGTTACTTTTGCCTGCTGTTTCCGTGAACTGCGCAGTCTACTTGAACGTGACATGTTTCGCCACCAAACAGCAGTCATCGCAATTAAATTCATTGCGCGTTTTCTGCAATTTATGCGACAAGTAACATCGTTTTTAGAAACAATTTATTCTAGACTGTAATAAGTTACCACTGCAACGATTTCACTTCTAGATGCTATTATTATATGTACTTTGCATGTGTGACTTTTCAATCCTATGCGTGATCTGATTCAAATGAAACCTTAACTTTTAACGGTGCATCCAAAAAATACAAAATTTACTTCAACATGATAGTACTGTTAAGACTTTACGGTAACTTTCAAAATTTGGAAACTAGAGAGTGAAAAAAAAAAGGTGACATAAGAACGATAATACGTGAATTACTCGGTGTAACGCACGATAGTTCTTCTATCAGGTGAGATATAAACTTTAAAATCCAACTTATAAGCCCCTACTTATAACCCCCATCCCCCATTCCTGCCAAAAATTTAAAGGCCCATCTACCAGTAAACAAAAAATACATTCCATTGTAAGCCCCTCGGACATAAGCCCCTTCGTTTTATGTGCCCTCCTAAAGCCCCTAAAGTTGGGTTAGGTTTTGTTCTCATTTTTCATGTTCTTGTTCCCCGTTCCCCGTTTCCCGCTCCTCGTTTTAGTAACATCCCGCCTTACGGTAGTGCGACTCGAGTAGACGGCGAACATTATACCATTCAGGCTAACTTCGTAAGGGTTAACGAAAGAAAAAAACTAAGGTACGTCTACTGGCTGAGGTCGACTCGTATAGAAAAAGGCAGCCGGGCCATCATCACCTCAATTGTTTCTTAACGTAGCTCACAGCTGAAAAAAGAAAATACAGAACTTGGACGTGTGTGGACCCACTGTACTGTGCAAATCACGCGCCCTTCTCGACCTTTTCAGGTATATGCGGGTATGTTGGCAACGTCAATGCTTTTAACAGAGAAACTAAACGGAAGTATTGGTATGTTACAATAAAGGTAAGGTACAGTACTTATTTGATTGCTACAAAAAAATCACCATAACTAACTAATGAATACCGTAGAAATTATACAAAAATGGGTAATTACAAAAAAATTGGGCCTATACAAGAATGAACGTGTTAAAGTTCCTGTTACTCTATATTGTCATTATTATTAATTCTTTTTTTTTTTTTACAAAAATCACTAAATTTACCTATAATTTTACAGGTTTGCTGTTATCTACTGTTAACAAATATAACATTTATAAGGATCATTAAGATTCGTAAAGTAAATTTTACATCACTAATTCAAATGCGAGCGAAGAGCTCTTGTCTTACATTAAATCAACTTTTCACGAAATATCAAGATAATAATGTTATTCACCTCCGATCTGATTTTTTCCTTACACTAAGCACATACTATCGCCTACACGTATAGATGCGCCGCCGTTCTTTATATATGAAGTTTACTTAGTATCATAAACCTCTAACGTTGGTTTTGTAAGAAAGGAATACACTTACTGATTACACATCACATAGAAAATGCAATAGTAGAGAGAAAATCAAGCTGGAGGAAACAGAAAAATTACTGGGGATGTTATTCAATTGCCAGTGAGCTAAGGCGAGACAACACACCAGAGCTATTTTAGAGTGTTCTGTTGTTACATATTTAGCAATTATTGAATGAGGCTGAGTAGGATGTAAAGAATTATGCAGATCGAGGAGGATGTTATCCACGAGCGATATATTTTGTGTATTTTTGCATTTATTCCGTGCAGTTTTAGCTAGAAATTCAGCTACTTCATCTTCGGGTAGCCGTGAACGCCACTTTTTAGTTCACTCGTGAATAATAGCTAGTCGGCCGCGCGTTGAAACGAGGTTGATCGATGGTCCATCTCCCATGTAGCCTCGTTTCCAATCAAATATAACCTCGTTTCAAATGAAATGTACCATCAAATCGATGGTATATTGCTCGAATCGTCCAAATATGGTAAGCGCCAGTTGGTCTTTAAAACGAGGTGCCCACAGAAAAAAATTCTAGTCGCGCGAGTACTTTCGCTGCAAAGGCAAGTTATATACCAAATTAAAGCTAAAAGACTAAATTACCTTATAAAAGATTTTATTTCATCGAATTTCAAAAGGCGCTTAAGTTTTTTTCTCTCGAACTTAGAGGTATCGAGTTTACTGCTGAAGCTCCAGCCCTTTCGCGTTGTTAAATATTCACTTCCTTTTTATTGCATCTGATTGACAGATAAAAGACCTAAAAAAGGGTGTGAGGAAATTTGCATATGTCTCGTATTAGCGGAATTATTGCATTTCAAACTAAAAAGTCGAATCTCGAGCGCGATTTACGCAAAGAAACTGACATAAAATGAGTTACAAAGGGAAATCGGAAAATTCCTCACAACATTTTTGAGTCTATATCATTATCCATCATATCTGAAAGTTTCAAAGCGATAGCTTAAAACCTGTCCCGACTGGAGGTCGGAGAATTTTGACTTTTGCGTCTAAAATAGAGTGAGAGAAAATCAGCTCTAAAGATTAAGCGCGAGGTCCACGCTTGGCTGGTTAGCTCAGGAAAGGCTCATTTTAGAAGGGTTAAAAAGCACTTTCTGATTTTCTTTTTCTGCCAAAATAAAATTTAGGACCCACTCATGCCAAAAATCCCAAAAAAAAAACAAAATCGAGCAATGTACTAAAATTTTCGTTTACCGAGACCGTAAGCCAATCAGAAAAGGGCGCATATTTTGGATGAATGATAAAAGCGGTTGTAGCTCAAAATCAGTCCTTTCAAGCATGAGTCTGCTGAAGGCAACTTTATGAGGTATCTTTCCCCAAGAAAACTTGAGTATATCTAAAGATCATGGTGTTAATATAGCAGAGCATGGAAATCATACCTCCGAGCTCAAAATGTTTGACCTATTATAAACCACCTCGGCTAGGCGTGAAAATGGTTGTTTAAGAATACTAAGCCTTAGGGCGTAGGTAGTCACGACGGTCTCATCCACGATTTTTCTTGTTTTCCTAAGAAACAAAGTCAAGCTTACTGGAAGTGATTCATTATACAAATTAATCTGACCAACATTTAGGTACAGCTGTATATTTTTTAAAACACATATAAGTTCACGTCCGGCTTCATCCGGATATGAAAGCGGATGTGATCGTCGCAGTTAAATGAACAACCTAAGCGCTTAACTTTTTCATCTAAGAGCGAGTATTGGGCCCCTATTTGCACTATGACGAAAAATAGACTTTGGCGTTTGCAAACAATTGGAAAATTTTTTACCGGTAATCACTAATTTTTCGATTTTGCGACTTTGTTTACATCTGAGACACGCGAAATGTTTCGCATAAGCAGAAAGTTAACCTCACTTGCAGGAATAATAATTGTTCCTGTTCGCGAAATCGGATGAGCCAACGAAGGGTAGTTGTCAAGGAAAATAGGATTTTGTCGCCTAAGAAAAAAATCTCTTTTTAAAAATGTTTGATTTGTTCAACGGATTTTGGTGGACGGGCCATTCTCCAATTCTTTTCTAAGCCAAAATTCCAGCGGATGAATAAAATAATATTATATCGTTTGAAATTTTAAAGGCTTCTAGAGATTAAAACGTCTTTGGTTTTGTACTTTTTTGCCGGGACGAAACTTTACAACGAGCCGTTAGACGAATGAAATTTGAGACAATTTTGAAATATCACTAGTGGTATTTATGCCAAATATCACGTACAAGTCATGATATTAACAGTGTTAACCTGTGCTTAAACAGATTTCATAAAATATACAGAGATATAATTTTTTTGAAAAGAAAAAGCTTGTTAGTGTTGTAACTCAGTTGTTTTGTATGAAATTCCTCACAATATTTGTCAAGCCAAAAAGCCGCGTCTTTCAGTTTTTGAAGACAATACCTTTCTTTTGCTACCATCAAGCTGAAAACACACAGCAATGTGTCCCTCCATGGTCACCGTAATTGCTCTAAAACGAAGTTCAGGTTCATCACGCAGCAGAATTCTTCGCACAAGTTTTCCATCCACAGTGTATAACTCCACTGTTATGATCCCGTCCTCTTTATTGTAACCAGCGATGACAACATGTTCACCTGCAGAGCGAGGTGAAAAGCACATATAGTCTAAATTTAATTCGGTGACAGATTTGAATTTTGCAATCTCCTGTCCCTCCATTGTGAATACATGAACACAGTGGTAATCGCTGAAGTATCCTTTATCGTGCGTTATCAAGATGCGACCGTCGTAAGTAGCAGTGCAATCGAATAAATACTTGTCGCCTTCACTCTTGAAAAACTCAAAACTACGATCTAACTTACCATCCTGATTGTACACACAAGCCTCACATGATCCCAACATTACTAGTCTACTGCCGCTAACTATCAGTCTGCTCCCGAATCTCACAGGAAACTTGTACTGAAGGTCATCGGTTTTGTTGAAAACTTGCACCTCAATCAGTGACTCCCATCGCCACCATTCATTGTACAGTTCGATCAGTAAATAGATCTTCTCGCTAACGTCTTCAGTAACGAGATCTTCAATTTGAATCTTTGTTTTAGCATCATCAGTTTGGGGATTAAAACTAAACTGAAACATACCATTTTTATCGTAAACTTGCACGGTTTTCCCCCACCTTTCTGCAATCAGAAACTGTCCCAGGGTGTTCGTAGCCAAGCGGATTATATTCCCAGAAAGACCTCCTCTCACATCAAACGACCACCCCGGTGTAATGCAGTAGTGCTCCATGCCAACTTTCTCTGATTTCTCCAACACTTGTAACACTCTTACATCGCGCAGAGGGTCAACTTGATCTTCTCCGATGTTAACAGACGGCCACTTCAAGACATGTACGTCTTTAGTTTTACCAGCCGTGTGCATGGCATCGTAGACGGTGCGATTTACCTGACATACAGTTGAAATTATCTGCATCCGTTCCTCTTTACCAAATCGACCTCTGATGTTTAGCAGACCTTTACTAAGCTCGGATTTAAAGCTGTTCTGAACAGCTGGTAACAAATTGAGTTTCTTCAGGCACTGTTCGCACTCTGGTAATGCTTTCTGCAAAGTACTTTTCAAGTCGCCAGTGGTTCTCACTGTCTCAGCTGCTGACTTTAACATTGCCGCCATAACACGATATCGAATGGCTGTGATTCGGTCAAACGTGCCGAGTGCCTCATTGTTGCAGGCGTGTGTTGCGTTTTCAACAGCTAATCTGAATTTCTCTTGTGCGTCAGAGAGCAGACTTTTCGTTGTTTCATCCAACTCGTTGAGTTGCATGTTTCTTATTCCATCCGCGAGGACTATTGCCTTTTCAGGGTCAGCGTCTGAGGGCAAAGTTATTTGTTTAAAGTCCTCTTCTTCATTTCTTTCAGATACCTGCGCTGCTCCTAAACTAACATTAGCACTGCGCATTGTGTCTACTGCCCTATAAAGACATCCGAGTCCTGTTTCAAAGAAGTCTACAGCTGCATTAAGATCCTTTTGTGATAACGCATCCAACTTGTTGTGGATCTCTTTCAAATCACGCACGACGAGGCTACGAAATTTCTGATCAGTCACGTCACCTTCTTTCATCCTCTCCGCTGCTACATCTCTTCCTTTATCCACGATCAAGCCGATGGTGGCTTTAAATACAGCTAATATAATTGCAGACATGCTTCCTATTAATTCAAAATGAGTATTCTTAAATCAAATGTTCGGTTACTTCTCGTGTTTTTACCCAGTTTGTGTTTAACAAAGATCGCCTTTCAGATCACGAGATCTTACCTCAAAGCAACGTGTCAGCTGACGTAAGACACGCCCGCCGGAAAAACAGTAAAATGAGAATTCCAACAGTAATAGATGGTTTTCACGGTGACGTCATCAAATTGTAAAGTCAAAGCAACGAGGTTTTACGAATTCTTATAAACAAAAAATAAATTTTTGAACAAGTTTCCAGTCCCATAGCATGTTTCAATTCGGAAATACAGCAATCTGAATTTCCGAGTTTTCACAGTGCGTGACACCAAAATAGGAATGCTGTCTCGCTGAAATAAAATCTCTCTTTCTGATTGAGCAGTTTAACCTTTTCAAGTATTAGAAGGTGTGTTTATGTGCACGTATGCAAGCTCTCGAGTGAAAAGAAAGAGCCTTTATAGAAAAAGTGAACTCCGGATGTTTTTGTTGATTTCCGGCGGCCATATTGGTGAACCAAAACTGTACATCAATGGTGTCTCCATACAAAGCTCTTCAAAATGTGCGTGAAACGTTTTGGCAAATAACTCAGGAACTGTGGGCCACAAAGACCTGAGACTTGGAAAAATTGATTACATACAAGTCTTTAATAACATTTCATTTTCTTGGCTTCTTCCAAGGACGGTTTCCAATTTATTTTTTGCGTTGGTTTATTGTTTGTTAACAATTAACATTCAACGGTAACTATGTACTGTGATCAAGTTCTATGTTGTTAAGGAAGCTAAGGAAGCTGTGCTGTACTTTGTGCAAAACGTTTAGGTGAACTTAGACTGCAAAACAGTCGGTTTTTTTCTCAAAATCAGTAAAGAAATCGGTAAAGCGTGGCGTAAGAGTCTTACGGGCGCGAAGCGCGCGAGGCTCACACGCCCGTAGGGCGTGTGAGGCTGAGAGAAAAAAAACCGTATTTTTAGCGTCTCTCCCCAGTCTCGCTCTCTGTTTTCAGCTTCGTTCCAGACCTTTTGTTTGACTGCTCGCGAGTACTTGAATACGCAAAAATACAAACTGTTTTGCAGTCTAAGGTGAACTTTGATCGCGGATAACAATCATAGGAAGGACGTAATCCAATACCGTACTATTGTCAATTCAGTCTGGTGTCCGCGTGAGGTTTTAACAATAGAAATTAGCCAAATACAATTCATTTTAGTGTCCGCAGAATAGGTGTTGGTTATAAAGAGAAGTATAAGACGTTAATTTCGGGACGCGGCTTAGTGTCCGCTGATTGGGAGTGCGCTTAATAGAGGTTTTACTGTACTGAGTCAAAAGCAGGACTCAGAAACCGTGATCCATTGCCGGGGGAGTTCCCATGAGAGTAACGGGGAGGCTCTCATAGTGGGAAAAATTGCAGATTTTGCTCTCACTCAGCGTGTTCAGGACGGAAAGCCAATATTTTTGTCCATAAAGGTATCGCTTAAGAAAAGAGAAGATAAGTTGATCCTCTATTGATTACGCTTGTAAGCAAAGAATTATCTAAATTATAATATTTAGAAAAAAATACTCTCAGTTGGAGCATGGTCCCCTTTTGGAAGCCCATGTAATCCTGAGTCACGTTCAGAATGGTCTTCTTTAGGAATTCAATTCAATTTTTTGGGCGAAACATCCTTGATCAGATTAAAGGTCCGAGTCGCGACATGGATTGGGGTGGTATCTGTGCTTATTACGGGACTGGTGGGTAAAATATAAGACTGTCGATGACTTATAAAAGAAATAGCTACCAATTCAATGGCTATTTTCAGCGACTTTTCTCGATAAATATTTAGTCTACTAACTTTTATTTTTCTATCATTGTATTTTTAGATACGACATCATTTAACGCATCAGGTTACCAGACTAAGCTTATCAGTTCCTTTTCGAAAATGGTCATTGCGATTTTAAGGGTCTTGCCACCATTGGTGACCAAGCCTTCAGTTATTGTAGATGTAATATATTCTCTCAGATGAAAGGTCAATTTGTCTTATTTTTATCGTTCAATAAAGACAATATAGTTTAGTAAAGACAACATAGTTCAGGGGCACCCAACGAGGATATAGTTCAAAACCACATAAACATAGCATTGTTGAACGTAATTTAGTATTTAAACGATAGATAAAGGCTTATTTTTATCCCCTAAAAATTTTTCATCTGTTCGGATTTCCTAGCTGAAAGTATAGTGATCCGAAAATTATAGGGATCAAAATTTACCTTTTCGAAAATTTCAGCCAGAAAAAAGGCTCCCGAAAATTCTAGGTGACCTTTTTAGGGTAAAAATCTGTTAAAAATGGGCAATTATACCATTTTTTTGGTGTTCGAAAATCCTAGGAGAGGCAGGCCAGCAAGAAATTTTACAGAAAATGATCCGAAAATTCTAGGTCTCAAATCGTCTTCCGAACAGATAATTTTCCGAAAATTATCGTTGGGTGCCCCTGATAGTTCATAAAAGACACTTAAGTTCATTAACGACTGCATGAGTTCAGAAAACGTCAGAACTATAAATATATCTTTATTTGGATTTCAGATGCGTAAAGGCAGGGGAAGGGGATTTTAATGGATGTGTGATTAAATTTATCTTACTAATGACAATAATAATAAGAATTCACTTAATAATAACTGAACTTTTTTTGTTGTTGTTCATAGAAGACACTTTAGTTAAGTGATGACTACAAGAGTTCAGAAAATGACACATGCATTAATGTATGCTTATTTTAGTCCCTCATGCGTAAAGGCGTTGGGAGGGGGTCTTCAGGGGCTCATGTATAAACTTATAATATTAATAATAACAAGAACAACAGCTAAGTGACAAAGTACAGTTCAGTTCATCATGTTACGAGGGGCTTCTTTATAAAACTGTAGTTTTAATGTACAGTTCAGTTCATCATTTCATCACCATTTTCATCTCAGGTAAAAGGAAAATACGACGTTCAAGCTGAATTTACGTTAAAAGTTATGGAATGGCCTAGGGTCACCTGTTACTAACTTTTAATGTATTCAATTACAAAAGACACTTTGCCTGTTTATTTACTTTGGGTGACTCGACCCAGTATTTTTGTAGGTACACCTTCCATCTATGAATTCTTTTCGACTTAAATTTACCTTATTGTAATACCATTGTAACAACCCCATCCCTACCCTACCCTCCCCCGGCTTCTGCACGGTCTCTTCTCGCGTTCGCGCGTCTACATGTACCTCTCACACGATATGCTTGCTTGCAGGCCGAAGCGGTTTACGGTTG